GTACCAGTCTGCCCATTTGTTTTTGGAGCATTCTAGTCTCCTATTTGCTTTTGGAGTGCACTGGTCTACCACCACACTGCCTTTTATCACTGATCAGCTGTAGGGTGGCCTTTTGAAGTGCCGTGGCAAGAGTTTAAACAGTTTTTTGCCTCTCTGCTACAACTGAGAGCATCGGAAACCGCTTTCAGGCAGTTTGGCCTCAATTGTCAATCTACCACCACCAAGCGGCTTACAACGAGCGGATCGGTTCTAGCCAATCAGTTGGGAAGCTTCTTGGCTTCTCCATTTTTAAGCTAAGATGCTTGTTTTTTCTCTCCCCCTCCACCCCTCTCTGTCTCGCTCTCTCTCTCGCTCTCTTTCTTCTTTGTCAAGTGAGCCCTGATTTTTTTCCTTCTAGCCAATCAGCTGGGACTCGGGAGGCAGCAAATAGATTGGGGCAGGGCCAGGCAGAGATGGTATTTACCTGTTCTCTGAACTACTCAAAATTTCCACTACCAGTTCGCAAGAACCGGGGAGAACCGGTAGCAATCCACCCCTGGTCTAGGGCCTCTTATGCAAAGAAGGAGGGAAAGTAGAGGCTAAAAACTGTATGGGGAATGTATTACATTTGTGGGGGGGTGGGAATGAAATAATCCTTCCTTTCTTGTTTGCTCATCAGAGAAGCAGCAAATGAGATACACATTCTTACAGAATTTTAGCGTTCTCAAGGCTACCCACTGCCAAAGCAGAAATTAATATGAGAAGAAGAAAAAAATTGTGTCAAGCTACTTTTCTATTATTGTCTTTCCTTTTCTTATTATTAAAGCTATTCAGCTCTTACAAATATTTGTGAGGCTTGTTCTACACTTTAGCAAATAATTTTAACAAGAATGGAAATTGCTTTTCTACATGACGACTTAAAATACTTTAGAGAGCTGGATTTATGTTAAAAGAAGCAGCTTTTTCAACCTTTTTTGTTATTTATTTTCTTTCAAATTTATGAACAAGTTTCTTTTTAGGAAATCATTCTATTGGGTATCTTACTCTTATATAGCCAAAAATATACCGTATTTTTCAGAGTATAAGACACACTTTTTTCCCTCCTAAAAGAGGCTGAAAATTTGGGTGCATCTTATACTCAGAATGTAACCCCATGCAGTGACCAAAATGGCTACCTGGAACAGCTGTTGCCTTCTCTTACCCCTTCCGGGTTTTGCCTGCTTTAGTCACTGGAGCTCCCTCCAAGGATCAGCTGTTTTGAAGCTGTTTTTCAGTCCCAACACGAGCGAAGCGATCTTCCGTGCTTTGCCTGCTTTTTTAATTGCTGCTCCCTCTGACAATCATCTGTGCTTTAGAAGCACAGCCCCAACCACAAAACCAGTGAGCAAACTAATGTGCTGAAGCTGTATGCCCCAACAAGCCCCAACCTCAAAACCAGTGAGTGAACTAATGTGCTGAGACTAGCCAGATGAATACCTGGTAGGCAGAATCCCCCCCCCCATTTTCCTCCCAAAAAGCTAAGGTGCGGCTTATACTCTGAAAAATACGGTAGGTAGATACTAAACCAAGGTATTCAGAGACTATCTGAAAATGCCAATATTTTTAGTTGAATTGTTTTTAGACAATCTTGCAGTATGCAAGTGAATATGACATGATGAGGAATCAGGAAACAGATGTGTTGAGTTATCGGTTGTCCTTGATCAAAAAGAAAACAAATCAAAATTTTGATCCTGTTGAAGACTCATTACAAAGCAGTACTAAACCTATTTGCAATTCAACACAGAATGATGCATTGTTATTCATACTTTTGGGGCTTCTGTGATGGTGATTTCAAGCACAACCACCCAAAAAATGAATCCATTTGTTTATAAAAATGTAAATCAGATAAAACACATAACAAATGCATGTTTTGCTGAAAAAAAAAGTGATATACAACATTGCATTGCATTCGAGACAATATTCAGAATTGGATACACAGTATTAAGAACAGTACTATTGAAATATTTTGATTAAAATACGCACATTGAAAAGGGGATAAAATTTATGATAATGCAGAAATGAAAAATAAACCTGAAATTGGAAAAAATCACAAACTGTACCTCAAGAGTCACCTAAAAATAGTAAAACTACCAAATTAAATACCAAAAGCAAACTGTTCACAGAACAGTTCCTTCTTTTCCCCCTTTTGAGTTCCCTATATCTCATTACCAAAATATTCTCTCAAGCATTTGAAGGCCCATTTTATATATCAGCTCTATCTCAAGAACATGCAGTCAGGTAGGAAGTAATTGAATTTGGAACTTTCTATGAGCAGTGCAAGTTTCCTTCATTCCTTTGGGTACTTTTCCTCCTTTCATGTAATAGGAGAACTTTCAAAATGTTTTAATTTTATATAGAAATATGTTGAGGGAGGCGGAAATCGAACAACCAGCAGTGTCTACCGTATTTTTTATAATTCTGAATCACCTGAATTTTGAACGTAGCTGGCATACAAATAAAGTCAAATATAAGCCTTGGTAGTACAGTGGTCTAAGGCACCCTGTTATTAAGCTGGTTATTAAGACCAGATGCCTGCAATTACTGCAGGTTCGAATCTCGCCAAGGCTCAAGGTTGACTCAGCCTTCCATCCTTTCTAAGGTAGGTAAATTAAGGACCCAGTTTGTGGGGGCAATAAGCTGACTTTGTATAAATATACAAAAGAATGAAGGCTATTGCTTAACGCACTGTAAGCCACCCTGAGTCTCCGGAGAAGGGCGGCATATAAATCAAATTAAAAAAAAATAATTAGATAAAAACATGACCAATGTCTTGCTGTCTTGACCCACCTCATCCATCACAGGGGCCAACTAAGATTACAAGGAAACACAGAAGTTAGCAGATGGCCTATAGAGGCATTGACACAGCCATCAAGGCTCATACTGATTCACTTGACTTCCATCAGACATGGTATTCAGCCGGTTTGGGCCGGTTTGTGCGAACTGGTAGTGAAAATTGTGGGCAGGCCCGCCAATCCGCCCTAGCTCTATGCTGTCCTATTTAGGCATGTTTTTGAGGCCAGGGACATGCACGGAAAGCACATGCATGAGCAAAACATATGTACGGAAGGCTGTGCGCATGTACGGGAGTGGCGCATGTGCTCACATTTGTGAACCGATAGGGAAAATAAATGAATATTACCCCTGACTTCCATGCATTGGTCTAACCCTTTATTGAAGTTGGCCAAGCTAGTAGACACTACAACAACACCTTAAGGAAACATGTTAAAGAGCATCTAAAGGCATACCAGTCAATGAATATAGAATTTGAGAAAGATATAAGCAAATATCTCAGATAAATTTGAGATAACAAATAACAAAGAGGTGTTAAATCGTATAAAACCAAACACATCACGAGAAGCTAAAAATCCTAAGAGTACATCTGATTTACTTTGGCCATTTCATGTGTGGAAATTTATTGGAGAAGGCAATGATGCTAGGAATGGTTAGTAGATGAAGAAGGGACAAACAAAGAACATGCTGGCTTGATAACCTCAAATCTTATACAAAGTTGAACAACCAACAATTGAAAGAAGCTGTGCTTGACAGGGTAGCATGAAGAGCACTTGCTTATAAAGGTGGCAAAAGTCGGACATGACTAAATGAATAAAACAACAAATAGGTAAATATATGGAAATCTAAGCATAAGAACAAGGAAGATGTCAATGAGTGATAAAGAGTTCTTTTTCTCCATTATCCAAACCATAGAAGGCTAAGCCAAACCATAATGATATATCAGCAGCAATTAGGAATACAAAACCATTCCTTACTAACCATATTGTGATATATCAAAAGGAATAGATGTTCCTTTTGTATCATATGCATATGCATATATATGTTAGATATAAATTATAATTTTTTTTATTTTAATCAGAAATAACTAGGCAATATAAATAATTTATCCGAATAATATTTTTTTTATCTTTATCAGTTTATCAGTTTATCATTTTGGTAAACTGAATTTTTTACAGACTGACAAATTACAATTTCCAATTCCTTTTTTCCTACCACTTTCAAAATTGGCTGGGCTGCTAGGATCTGTAACGTCATCAAGGAAAGATCTGTCACAAGGTCTGGTTAAACATCTCTAATGCCCAGTTCAGATGAAAGCAGAAAAGCATGAAGTTTCCATGTATGAAATTATCCATTAATTCTCTTCCATATCTTTTTTTTTTTTTACTTTTTTTGCAATCCTGTAATCCCTTAATTTGGGGGTGGAATGGAACTGAGCATTTACTGGCCGGATGCCCTTCCTGACATCTATGCAGAGTTGGCAGCAGATATTTTCTCTTTGCTCCCTGATAGAGAAACATCTGCTGCTGTCTAGGATTGAACTCTCAACCTTCCTAATGGGAGGCTGGTGTCTTCACCACTTGGCCACCACTATGCCACTCTATTACCTTCCATAGCATTAAAAAAATGAAATTCTTATTATCTTCCATAGCATAAAACATGAAATTTTAGACATCCTGTATATTTAACTATCATGAAAGGGTGTTATTGTATGAAGTATAGATCTAATTTTCCAGTTCCTGAATACAGCTTTATTCTACTGCATGCATTTTGTTAAACTTGAGGAACAGTTTATTGATCTCATTCAATTCAATAATGGATCTTTACTTAGAGCTAGGGGTGAACATATTGTAATTCACAGCATTATTTAGAAATCTGCAAATAATTTATACTGGATGAAAATGTATTGTCATTTTATTAATTGCTTCTTTGTATTTAATGGTATAATCTATAATCAGTGTTTACTAACTGAAATATTTTCTATTTTCAGACACAATTGAAAATCTTTACAGTATTTTTATACTTAGCAAGCAACCCAAACACACATATACAAAAATACACAAACACAAGCACACAATAGCAAGGAAATGCCATGTTCTCCAAAAACTTGTAGTGCTTGGCTAATGAATTTGACTTCACTCCAAGTTCCACAGCTGTTGTGATTCTAAATGTTTTATAAAACACACTTCGTATTACAAAAGCAATTATCCGTTTTTATTTGTTTACATTGCACTGAAAATTTACATCATACTTTTACAAATCCCCTTTTTTTTCATAAAAATAGACTTCTTTACAAAAGTGTATGCATTAATATAAGAGGAGTAGCCAGTTGCAGAAGAAACAAGGTTTTAAACAAGATCTCAAATATTAACCTTAACAGTAATGAATGAATCGTCATTATTGCAATCATTTGAATAAACCAGAATAAATAACAAATTGATGGTATAAAATATAAAAATGGCATTCTTTTAGTAGAAGACAGTATCTGGAAAGATGGGTGTGATTTTTCAAAAGAAAACGTTGTAAAATGGTTTGTAAGAAATTCATCAAACACTATAGAAATCCAAGCAGCAGTTCTTGGTTTAATACAGATTGGAGGATGGAAATGGGAAACTTGTGATCCTTTGGGGGCAATAGGCACTCTCTTATTACATTAATAAAAATTATTTTTTTATTCCCATAGAGATGTTTGTATCTGAGAAAAGAATATTTCCAGATAATTCACACCAGCTAATGTACAGCATTGATGAGTTCAAAATCATTTCATGCTATCAAAGGAAGACAATGAACAATGATGCGGACATTACTCAAACCATATTTTGATAATTCAGTTATAAAACTCCAGTCTGAACTAAAATTGTATTATTTTATATGAGAATGAAACAGATCGATGGAATCTCAAACTTGACAGAAGAAAGTATGATTTGGAGAAATGAGTGTATTCATTTCTGTACCATAATTTATATTGTATACTGCTGTAGAACAAGTGTAATTTAAGGTTTAACTCCACAACATAAATTCTAAAGTACATTTGAAAACAAACTTCCCAAATTAATATGAAGCAGAATTTGTTGAACCTTAAAACAGTTAGGAAAATAACCTCCTAATTGGAATTGAACAGACCCATTCAATTGTAATTGATTGCACTTTGGCTTAATAGGCTTGTGAACTGGATTATAAAGCCTTCATTTAAAATATTTGTGTTGGCAGCACCCTTTGTACCTATAGTAATATGTGGCATTGCTTTGGCACAACATTCAGTGCACTTACTGAAACCCATTATTTCTTGGCACAGCATATAATAATGACACAAACATTGTAATGCCAAAATTACCTTCTTCCACACAGAATGTACATTATAACATTGACAAAAAGGTACACATTTATGTGTAAATCATAGGCTATATTTAAGAATCAGGCAAACTCATGACAAATTCCTTATCATGCAAAATGATAGAAGTCGGTGATGATTTTTTTTTTAACCAAGACCTGGATTGCAGATGTAAGGAAATTAAAGAGGAAATTAATTTCTTTTAATTAGGATAAATTCACTCTTGAAAACATGTACTTCTCAATAAAAAAAAGGGAGCGCAACGCTAAGAGATTAATCCTTAATCCAGAAATCTGTGTACAGTATAATCTGATGCACGCAGATTGTGGGTTTTTTTCTGTGGGACGAAAAATTTCACAGGCATATTCCATAAGTACGTATCTTGCTGTTCCCTATCTTAGAACAGGGAAGCCCTGGAAATTTTGAGAAATGCATTGATGAGTTGAAATCTACATTTTTGTGACTGCAGGTTGATGGCACCATGATGATCACGTCTGTCTCCAGCATTTAATGCAGCGTAGAAATAAAATTGATGAAGTGGATGATAGAGTGGGATGGGAAATGTACCATTTAGGCACCTTCATTGTCTAGAAGTGTGATGCTACTCTAATCTGCCATTTGTTCACTTGGAGAAAATTGAATTACTGGGAAAAGGAGGGGCAATGTGAAATACATATACCTTTGTAATAGATCTCAGCAACCAAGATAATTGCAGTTGTGCCGTTTCTCAAATCTTATTCTATTGCTGGCAAATTGATCACTATCGGGACAGATAACATGAAGAAAAAGAAAAGATGCTTGCATGACAAGAACAACAGAGCAGGGAATGAAACTCGTGAATTAAAAAGAATCTGAGACCAGACACTTAATTATCCCATTGTGGCTCAGAAATAATGGGTTGTGCTTGCAAGCTTAAGCACGTTAATGATCATGGCATAATCTCAGAAATTCATAGTTAGTAGAGAGGGAGAGAGGAGAGGAAAATGTTATTAAAGACCAGATATGATGGAATGGTTTTGCCTGTGGCTAATAAAGAGAAGCCATAGGCTCTTGCTGTCTCCTGTAAATATAACTCTTAATTCCTATCACATATAATTTGTTCTTTGAAATCCAGTCCCTCTAGCAGTTTATAAAGCACAGACGTACTGATAGTGGATGCTCCTCCAATATATGCAAATATGTTATTATTTTATTTTATTATTATTTTTTTTAGAATAATCTTCTTTTTTAAAAAAGCAAATAAACTGTGAATAAGCACTCATGGAGTGCAGCAGACGTTCTGTAAAATACTCCACAGTAACCATGAAGTCAATATATATTTATGAAAAAAAGAAACCCACTCTAGTCTCTGTCTCATCCTCAGGAGAAGGTGATCCAGGAAATCCTGAAAAATGTGCTTTTCTTTTTCTTTTTTCTTTTAAAAACCAGTGAACGATAGGTCCACTACGACCGCGTTTCAATCTTCAAACCACTGCAGTCAGGTCATCGCAATGTTATACCATTGTGCAAACTGTGTTCAGGTTTGGATCAAATCGCACAGCCTTCCCTTCGACAGACTTTGCGTTGGTGTCATACATGGGGTTTTCAAAAGCAGCTTGTCCATTGTTATTTTCATGTACAGAGCAACCAGTATACTGTGTTTTCGGTGCAGTCCTGTGGCAAATGGCAGAAGAACAGAAGATTAAATCAAATGATTATTACAGTCACAAATCAGCATATAAGAACAGAAAATTACTTGTAGTAAAATGCCTGGGAAGATTCTCAATCATTCCGGTCATGGTTGTCCCAAAGGAGCTTTTCCAAAAGGCAATTGGATTTTTCTTGGGGTATTTTTCCTCCGGTTGAAAACATTTTGCTTCTCAACCAAGAAGCTTCTTCCGAACTTGGATTAGAAATGAAATGTTTTCAAAGAAAAAAAAACCAAGAAAGTCCAGTTGTGCCTTTTAGAAAAGCACCTTTGGGATGATTGTAGTAAAAGGATTTTATAATTTTGCTTCCAAGGAAATGTGTTTCAAGAAAAGGTGCTTCTTTAGGAGCCTCTAACCATGACTGGTATATTTCAGAAAGACAGACACAAATTAGATCATCTTTCAGTCACCCTGGCCTACAATGCTCTCTTTCTCTCTCTTCCCCAACCCCCCTAGTTTTAATGTGGCACTTTCCCTTTCAGCTGACACAATCCTTGCAAGTCAGGCTATTGAGGTATATTTAGATATGTGCCTTGCTCCTTTTTGGGCACTTGAGGCTGTGGCAAACATAGCCTCTGTGATCAATGGCTTTTTTGCAGCCAACCATTTTTTGACAGCAGAATTGGGGCTCATTCACCATGCCAGACAATCAACCCTCCACGTTTTCCTAACAACTTCATCAGACCTAGTAGCAGGTCCCCAAACTACAGGGTTTGGGGAAATGATCAAAGTTATGTATTAGTGCATGCATGTATAGAGAAGACACCACTTAGTCACCACTGCAGATATAGGTAAGCCTATCCATCAGACCTAGCAGAGAATACACAAGAGAGTCTGATTCAGAAGGTTGGAAAGGTGCACTTTTTGATAAGTGCCCATCAGCCTTCTGGAAGACAGGTGGACATGTGTCAAAAGTACATCCCTATATAGGGATTAGTTGTCACAGGAGAACATCTTCTGCCCACCATAGATCAATGTCTTGCTTCCCTCCGCTTAACCTACCAAGAGAAGTGTTGTGAAGAGAATGTTTTGTTGTCTTCTGCATCTCTTATCATGGGTGGCAAGAAAATGGGACGAGAAAAGTAGGGGATAATGGCGCTTTTAGTGCCAATTTTGTATTCCTACAATTGTTCCGTGGGCTTGGAGAATTGATTGCAGATGATCTGGCACCTAAAGAGGCATTTTTCTAGCCTGCCTCTCTCCTCACCCCACTCCTTTTGCAGACAGAATCTCTCATCTGCCACATGGCAGAATAGAGATGAAAATGCAGGCAGCAAATTTGTTATGCTAGCGTACTATCTTGCTAGCTTTCACAAAGGAGAACAACACTAGAGAACATTGTGCAGAAGAGACTAAACATAGACTTAAATCAATTCGCGAATTAAATTATTTAACGTGCCACAGAATGTTAAAGATGTATATAAATAATGAATCTTTATTTTTTGGATGAAAAGGATGTCTCTCTCTCTCTCTCTCAAAAATCCTGCATCCAGATTATAAAAGTTTCTATGGATAAGAATCAACAGCAACGGTCCAATTCTGATATATCGGAAACCAATTAATAAGGCAATGTTTGCTGAAAATTGTGCTTACTTCTTGCCCAAGCCTAGAAAGATGTAATAGTTATGCGCAGGCATCGGCTGCAGCAAAGTACTTCTCTGCGCTTGCCCATATGATACATCTCAGTAAAGCTTCCCAGGCTCGACCAAAGTTTCTACTTGATCCAAGATCTGATATGACTAAGCTGAAGGAAAGTCAAACACAGCTAAACTAAGCTTCAGGAGATTCTCTTTTATATTCTCTGTAAACTATCACATGCAGACTGGATGACAGTACAGAATGTGTAGTAACAATCCTGCTACTACCTAGCACAGGCATATGGATTAGAGGAAGGATTCTTAGCAAATGTATTGATCAAAGCTGTACCTGAGATACTGGACTTCAGGAGATTTTTTATTATTATTTATTAATCAAATTTGTATGGCTGTCCATATCATGGAAAGTGAGTCTGGGCAGCGTACAACAATACAATAAAAATTGTTCCAGTTCTCTAGAGCCTTAAATGATTGCATTTGATGATGTTAAAAAGTGCTTGTTAGATAATTCTGAGGGTGTTAGAAATGTGTAGATCTCAGATGGAAAGCACAGAATAACTTTGGATTTTATTTGATTGTGCTGCAGTGCCAAAAGAACATTATAGCAATAGCGCCTAGCAATAGCACTTGGACTTTGCAGCACTTTCTGAGGGGGTTTACAATGTCGGCATATTGTCCCCAATAATCTGGGTCCTCGTTTACTGACCTTGGGAAGGATGGAGAGTCAACCTTGAGCTGGTTGGGATCAAACTCCTGGCAGTGGGCAAAGTTAGCCTGCAGTACTGCATTCTAGAGTGTCATAGAATGGAGGCCTTTGAACTATGATGCTGGAGAAGACTCCTGCGAGTCCCTTGAACTGCAAGGTGATCAAACCTGTCAGTCCTACAGGAGATCAACCCTGACTGCTCTTTAGAAGGCCAGATCCTGAAGATGAAACTGAAATAATTTGGCCACTTAATGAGAAGGAAGGACTCACTGGAGAAGAGCCTAATGCTGAGAAAGACTGAGGGTAAAAGAAGAAGGTGACGGCAGAGAATGAGGTGGCTGGATAGAGTCACTGAAGCAGTAGGGGTGAGCTTAAATGGACTCCAGAGGATGGTAGAGGACAGGAAGGCCTGGAGGAATGATATCCAAGGGGTCACGATGGGTCGGACACGTCTTCACAACTAACAACAACTGCATTCTAACCACTAAGCCACCATGGCTTCATTATTTGATATTCTACAATAGATGCACACATTTTCATGTGGAAGCTTACATTTATAAACATTAGCCTACCTCATTACTCATATCTGATAGGACTAAAATGTTCACAAAAAAACCCAAGATTTTATATGAACTGGAAAAAGATTGATCAAAGGATCATGACATTGGTTTAGGTATTTTATGCACAACTATCTCCCAGGTGAGAACAGTAGGATAAATCTTGGACAAAGGTCTGTAGTGACAGCATAAACTGATAGGAGCTGAATTGCCAATCATGGCTATGCAACAGCTGTCTGTAATAAAACTGTTCATGGCACTTATGGCTGATGTAAGATAAATGATGCAAGGAATACAATTCACAATACTGTACATGTCAAAAACGAAATATAGGCAATATGTGAAGTACACAGCAAAGCCATTATTACTGCAGTGTTCCAAGGCATCAGGACATTTGAATATGTTGCTTCTCTCTAAAGGGCAGTAATTTACAATAGTTCCCAAAAAAACTGAAAGTAAAGGTATAATGTGAAACAATGACCTTATCTACAAAGCATCTCTGACAGTTGTGAAAGGAAGTTAATGTAGATGGAAGACTTTTCATAAGTGATTTTAATTTATTATGAAGAAAGTAATAAGATGTACAAGGGGTAAATATTTCAGCTGCATCATAATAGTACAGACTGGTCAACACCATTTAGATGTTCTATATACTTTTCAAATGTGTTCCCATTAATGGAGAACACATTTAGAGTGGACTTTTGTCATCAAGCAGAGTGTTTTCTAGCTGGTTCCTGCAAACCATGTGTTTAAACAATTAAATAAAACTTAAAACTTAACAGTCATAGCAGAGTAACTGTGTTGGGAAACATTAATTAGAGAACAGTCTAATTCAGAAAGGGAAAATGATATTTCTTGTTCCCAACCAACCATGACAACATGACAAATATCAATGCTAAAGCATTGTAGAGATCTGAGAAGACATTGGCTTCCATTGCCAATCAAAGATATGGCCTCAGTTGGCATTGGAAAGATGCCCAATGTTCCTTGTCCTGCTTCTGTGTTCTGTAGAGCAGATTTATTTCAGAACCATTTTATATTGAGCTCTTTGGGAAAAGAAACAATCAGAATGGAAGGCACAACTATGGGGAAGAGCAATGGCAGTTCAGGGGTCATGCTGAAGAGAAAAGTGGTAATGGTTATGTCTACAGCTAAACCAACTATTAACATCCTTTTGCATTAACAGAGGGATTCAATCAAGATCAAGTGAGGTACTAATACCACTCTGTAAAGCTTTAGTAAGACCACACCTAGAATACTGCATCCAGTTTTGATCACCACACTATAAAAAAGATGTTAAACTCTAGAAAGTGTGCAGAGAAGAGCAACAAAGATGATTAGGGGATTGGATGCTAAAACATACAAAAAATGGTTACAGGTACTCGGCATGGCTAGTCTAGTGAAGAGAAGGACCAGGGGAGGCATGACAGCAGTGTTCCAATATTTGAGCGGCTGCCACAGAGAGGAGGGGGGTCAAGCTACTTTCCAAGGCACCTGAAGGCCAGACAAGGAATAATGGATGGAAACTGATCAAGGAGAGATTCAACCTAGAAATAAGGAGACATTTTCTGACAGTGAGAATAATCAACCATTGGAACAGCTTGCCTTCAGAAGTTGTGGGAACTTCATCACTGGTTTCAAGAAGAGACTGTCATTTTTTTTTTTATTTGATTTATACGCTGCCCTTCTCCGGAGACTCAGAGCGGCTTACAGTACATTTTTCAGAAATGGTGTAGTCCCCTACTTGGGCAGAGGGGTTGGACTAGATGACCTACAAGATCCCTTCCAACTCTATTAATCTTTTAAATGGTACAGAGGCTTTCTAGGAGCCTGGGAAGGACAAAAATGTCCTTCCCCACCCCACTGAGAGGCCCAAAACGGCCCATTTCCTTACTTCAGCTGGCCGGCATGCACATGCATGCTGGAGCTGAGCTAGGGCAACGCTCATGTGCCCACAGATATGGCTCTGTGTGCCACCTTTGGCACATGTGCCATAGGTTTGCCATCATGGACCTAGGCACTTTCACCCTTGAGAACAGAGAAAGAACTAATTTTGATCTGAAATTCTATTCTATGTTTCCTGGGAATAGTTTTTGTGGCTTTTCATAGGTCCGTTTTCCAAGGACAGCTAATTGGATAATTGGAATTATCAGAAATAGTTGTGATACAATTTAGATAGTACCCATGCCCTAAAGAAATCTGCACAAATATATTCCTCTGATAGTATAACCTGAACAAGATGAGATTGGTATGCACACAAAATTTAGGGTTAGGGTTATGACTCAGCCTATTGATGTAGGTTATTGTAATCCAGGATGAGCATTGTTATTTCATGATTGCTGTGCTAATCACAATTTGCTTTTCACTCAGAACAATTTGAAATATAAGGTTTTTATTCTCTTACTTTTATGTATATTTTTTATCAGTACCTGAAAAGGAAGCAGTACTGTACATCATAAATATGAAATTCCTGTATTCTGCTGTGTTTCCTATATGCAATGTAAATTTTGATTTAATTATATATTATTTTTAATGCAAATTGGTAGTTTCCCTGAATGCATTTTTAGAAATATAGATAGATTGATAGATTGGAAACCTGGATGACCCTCGAAGATAGAGCCTTGGTAGTACAGTGGTTTAATGCACCCTGTTATTAACACAGCTGCCTGCAATTTCTACAGGTTCGAATCTTACCAGGCTCAAGGTTGACTCAGCCTTCCATCCTTTCTAAGGTAGGTTAAATGAGGACCCAGTTTGTGGGAGCAATAAGCTGACTTTGTATAAATATACAAAAGTATGAAGGCTATTGCATTGTAAGCCGCCCTGAGTCTCCGGAGAAGGGCGGCATATAAATCAAATTAAAAAAAAAAAAGATTTCATAATTAGGTCCAAAACAAAAAACAACCCCCCCCCCCAAAAAAACCATTCTCCATACAGCCTAGATTCTATAATCAATGACCATAGAAAAATGCCTGAACAATTGTCAAGACAAACAATGTAAATAATGGTAGTGTTGTTGAGTTTGTGGAAAACATAATTACTAAAATATGTAACCTTAGGCATGAGGTACAAAGGAATGGGAGAATTTCAGAAGATGAATTTTAATCTCTGATTTGTTCAGATAATACTTTTTTTAATCTCCCTCCCTCCCTCCCTCCCTACACACACACACATGCATATATATCATACGCATATAAAATAGATGTATATTCCACCCACCTTTGTTTATAAAGGTAAAATCCAAAGCCTGCTAAAATAAGGGCAAAAAAAGGCACGAGAATAGCAATGGCCACAGAACTGCTGTTTGTACCATGTGATTGATTTAATGAATTTGATCCTTTAGACGTATTAAGTCCTGGCAAAACAAAAGATAAAGATAAACATTATTTCTGTTACTACTGTCATGGGAAAATATGTGTTCCAAATATTTATAAATATTTAGACACATGTATATTATACAAATGCACAATTTGTTTATTGTTCTATAATGCACCACTATTTCCAATTATTTTGCAAACTAAACAAAGTGAATCACCCATATATTTGAGATGTGAGTTCCTGCTCTTTCTAGCTGATAATCAAAATGTGATGCAGAGTACTTTCAAAAACAAAAGCAATTTATGAACCAAAATATTTGGTTTCTTTCCACCCAAGTAGGTTTGCAACAGCATTGGGATTACATCAAGTCATATTTATGTCCTGGGTTATTATCTAAATTATGGGAGGGAGTTATGAAGATAATTATTCATCTGCTTCTATTTGGTGAGGTTCCCCATGCCCAATGCCAGATGCAGGAGACTGGCTTCAGTGCTTAATTTGTTCCTGGTTCCACACTTATAAGAGCAGGTTCTTTTGCAATCTATTAAAAGAGTAATTACTCCCAGTTGAACAGCTTCCATAACAAGATACCGTCCTCCTGCAAGAGATGCATCTGTTTGAAATGAACATATATAATTAACATCAGGGTGGTCAGAAAGTCAAACTACTGGCTGTGACTATACAATCAAACCCTGCCTCTTTCTGATATGAAATATGCAATTTGGTTGTATAATCATCCTCTATACTGACTATCCCAGCCAAGTACCAGAATGATGCCTTGCAGGAAGAAAACAGTCAATTTACTAGCTTGCACAAATTAAACACAACTGGCTAGAAAACAAAGTTGTGATTAAGTTGCTTAAGTTGTGATTAAGGCATCTTTCTTGCATTTCTTTCTGTAAAAATCTTTCCTCTACCTTAGGGCTGTCAAACTCCCAGCCCTTGGGCCGGATGTGTCACGCACTGGCCACGCCCAGTTTAGCAAAGTCTCAATATATCACGTGACACCACAGTGATGAGGTGAGTTTGACACGCCTGTTCTACCTTGTTTCAAGTAAAAGATCCTTCAAAAGTGTGAATAATTCCACATGCTTTCTCTTCCTACAAGGGCAATTAAATGAAGCCCAATCAGTTCATGCATTCTTTGTCTCTTCAAACTTCCTCACAATTTTACAACTTCACAGTTCCATTTCTGTCCCCCACATGTTGAGTGCCTAACCATTTGTTTATTCATTTACGTACATGGTTTATGCTATCTGATTCCATCTGATGGAATGATGACTAACATTTAATAATATCATAAAAAGAACCCTTCCAAAAATGAATATACGCACCCAGAGGAAAAAAAAAATCCACACAACCTTACAAGGAACAAAGGAGGAAAAAGACATGGGTCATACATCCACCAGGTTCTTCTGAAGTCAAAAAAATGCCTTCCTCCTGGGCTAAATGGAAATGCTAGGTCTTAACAGCTTTCACAAAACTCAGAAGGTAATAAGGAAAGAATTTCAAAGCATAGGAATGCCATCTAAAAATATTCTTTTCCTTGCTCTCATCAGACGACATTCTCAAACAGATGAGTTTCTCAATCAAATAAGGAAACTGCTTAAATGGGGAGACAAATATTGGTGAATATAATCCCCAGCCATATAAGGTTTTAATGGTCACAACCAACAACTTTAATTGCATGTAGTAATCAATTGGCAACCAATGCTGTTCCCAAAGCAATAGAGTCACCCAAGTATGCATCCATCACTGTCCAGTCTGCATTTTGTACCACTTGTACTGCCAAATGCTTGTTAAGAGTGTCCCCATGTGTTACGCAGGTTGGTCAAATTGGCGGCCCATGGGCCGGATGCGTCACACGCAGGCCATGTCCACCCCGGCTCCGAAAAGGCAAAAAATGTGATATATCACAATAAGTGATGCGATCGAGTTTGACACCCATTGTATTATAGTAATCCAAATGGAAAGTGACTAGAGCAAGGGTATCTTTTGAGTAGGGCTGCCCAAACCAAATCACTACAGTTAGCAGACAAGTGTACGGAGGACTTTTCAATCCAGGAACCATTGCAACTAGAAAACAAGTTGTAACTGTACATAGGGCTCCTGACCACACATATTATCTGCTCCCAGAGCAGAAACTTTGAATCTAAAACAATGCCTAAGTTGCAGATCTTCTCTGAACAGGAGAATTCCATGGTGAAGTCAGTTATGGACCAAACAAGGCAAACACAGGCGAAAACCTAGGCAAAAATAAACAATATAGATGCAGATTGTGTTTGCTTTTTAAATCTGTTATAAAGTGGGCTGGGTAATACTTAAAAATGCTCACGCAAAAAGGGAGGGAAGATTACTGCCAAGATAACAAATTCTTCTTGGAAGACCATTCAGTTTGTGCTAAATGGGATTCTAGTGCCTGAGGAATAAGTACACTTAGCAATAGAAGTGTTCAATTAAGAAGGGGAAAAAAGTGCCACTATACAGAAATTGACTCTAATAATTACAGCTTAATATTTTCTTTTACCCATTTCTCCTGTTTTTTATATGCTTATGGATGCAGGCAATTATATTTTATTAGTACTTAGGAATTTGGAAGAAAAGGTAAGCAGACATGCATGTAGAGCAAAGCGCATCACATAAATTTCAAAATTGCTCCCAGAGTTCTCCTTTAAAAGGCTAATAAAAAAACATTATGTTTGGATAAGCGAAAGCATACACCTAAACTTTACCATTTATGTTTGTAGGTGCTGAATCAGATACAGTAATTTGGGCTGCCACTATATCATATTAAAAGAGTTTTCTTTTTTTTGTCTTTAGAGGGGAAAATGGCAAATGATTTCACCTGTTTATACCCATTTAGCATCCATCCATCATCTATCTATCTATCTATCTCACAGAAATGGTCTTTCCCTCGAGCACAAACTTTCTACAAGCATTTGAAAGGGAGTAGATGTCTGCTGTAATGAAATTTTGAATAGCAAATTTGTAATTAAGCAACTTAAGTACAGAAATAAGTATAATATTTCAACAAAATTACACAATGAACAATAGAAATTGCCGGGAGGGAAGAATCTAAGAAAATTTCCATTGTACATAACCAAGATGAAATAAAATACCGTACCTTACTGAATTATACATTTAACTAATATTTGAGACTATTCATAGTTTTATAGTCTCCGTGTATCTAAATACCAAATGCTGGAAATGCATTCTCATCAGCAGAACTTTGGTTAAATAAAGATAACTGACCATCATCTAATCTAACTAGGCGCCCATCAAGGGAGTCTGTAGTATTGGCTAGGAGGCAAGTAACAAAATGTGCATTTTAACATCACCATATAAACTCAATTGCTTTAGGCACATACTAACCAACTTGGTATTATGACATCACAATGCACATTTCTCTATTTTGATGAAATCTTGAATTAGCTGTGGATACCCCAGATCATGTACTTTCTAATGTAACTTTGGTGAAAAACACCATCCTGTTTTCAAAATATTTTGGAGTCTAAACTTAAAATTAGTTTAGTACAGTTTGGCTACGGGAAAAAGTGTCATATGTAGATACTTTCAGTTTCCAGTCTAAGACTGGAATTAGCTTTTCTTGAAATAGTATCTGTGAATCTATCAAAAAAGTCATTCATAATTCAAATGGAGTCAGTTACTGAGGCAAAGGATGTAGCATCACTCTTCTTAATTTCTAAACATCTCCAAGTAAAAAAAATACACATGTATAGAATGCCTTCCAGAATTTTATCAGAAGCAGTAAGTGTAGGGAGATTCCATCAGCCCATCTTTGTTGATTTCAAATGACTGCAAAATGTTTGACTGTGTCTAAATTAAAAGCATCAGCTTACCTAATCTTTGAAGTCCAAACTGACCATAATCTTTACCCTGAATAAATCCTTGAAAAACGTAAGTTGCACCATCAGGTTCTGCAGAAACCTATGTAGAATAATAAAAAGAAAGGTGTTTCAAGTAGCAACATGAAAAGCTTATTAGATTTTTTTCAATCTGGAAAAAAATCACTTTCGCCATTCAGTTACTTATATATTTTCTTATTGTTAGTGATATTAGATTTCTTTGATCTGGAAATGCTCAGTTGATTATATGTCATCAAGTCATTGTCAACTCCTAACTATCACACTGATAGATTTTCTCCATGATGATTTGGAAGTAGTTGCATTTACTTATTTTATTTTAAAAGATACTCAAAAAAATTAAAAACAGTATAAAAAAAGCAAAAAGGAAAAATGGGGAAAAAGTACATGAAGATCTAGAATAGGCATATTAAAAATACTTGAAGAATATGGAAAAGAAAGAAAAAAAGGGGAAAAAATCCACTATTCTTATTGATAGTTGAGCCAATGGATTTTTAAAATCTTTGCTTGTTGTCTTCTCTTATCTGGCCTTAAATGTCTTATAATTTTATTAGTATCTAAAACCATGTATAAAGCAATTAGAGAAAAAAATTCATTTGTCTGTTTTTATGTTTCACAAAATAGCTAACTTCAACATCTAATGAATAGTCTTATGTTTCTGTAGTAGCAAAGATTATTTTTAGTTGACTTTGATTCATGACAGCTTTAAAGACAATAGGGATATGATTGTCATTAGTATTTACTTCCTCTGATATTCCTTGGTGTTTCTTTTTTAAGTACTACCCAATTTTTGTTTGGAACAGTCAATTCAGATAGGTATTGCCACCTAGATTTTTAAAAATGTTTTAAGATTCCTCTTTGGTCTTGACCATAAATAAAATCTAGCTTTGATTTGATTTAAGATGCCCCCCCAATTAGAAATATATTGTTCTAGCATTATTCTTCTGTATTGTTTCACCCTTTTGGAAGGCCTTATACCCTCCACTCTTGCAGTGTTTAGAAAACCTGCAAAGATGAGAATCTGTGTCCCCAGGCATTTGCCATTGAAATTCAGTGCTTAGTTTAGCCTATTTTTTTTAATCAATGTTTTAAATTTATTAGATTCTTTCTTATTTTGAGAGCTTTTAAAAGTTTTAAAAGTATTAACAGTTTTAACTGAAATCAAACCAATAAATATATTTTGAATTAGGTTACCGATAGAAAATTTATCACATCACGCTTTAATTTGTCTTTGCAATATTGCTGCTTTAATCTATTAATTCGTATTGTTATAAATAACACTGCATGTTGATCTTTTGTCAATTATAAATCTTACAGGAATGTAGGGTTCACGTAAAAATGTGATCACGTAAAAAATGTGATCACGTAAAAATGTGATCTATTTGCACTACTAACTATTACAATGTTAGCATTACAATCAACCTAGAAAGTAATAGTACTGTATACTTTGCGATAGAAACAAAGCACACTTATCAGGGTCTCTATTTTGCAAAGTACTAATCACTGATACAGTACTGCACTGACTGATTGGACATAGGTGCTTGAAAGAAAATCAGGCTATTATTCCCATTTTCAAATTGTAATATTGTGTTACATCTTTCCTTATTAATCAATGTTACACTGCATCCTGGTAAGTATAAATCAGGTATACCAGGTAGAAATGCAACTTAGTGTTCCCGGTCTATGTGTATCCATTCTATGAATATGTAAGGACGTGGTTTTCTAATACAAATTTATAGGCAAGAAAGTAGTCATCCATAATGTATATATTGCCTGCATACTAGTCTACCTTTGAATCCAATCAATGGCATTTCCCATGACCTTTAAGAATGCCACTAACCTATAATACCAACATTTGTTCTTGTCTTGTCAGCAAGTGCCTGTGCAAGCCTATTTTTCAACATTCCTAATTAAACTTTCATTTTTTAAAAAATGACTTCTTTCTGGTCTCATGCACAAGTCATAATTTTTTATTAAGACACATTGGATTTTGCCAGAAGTATACTCACAAAGCCATCCATTGCCCATTTGTCGTCTTTCAGTTTGTTCACAGAAGTATGGTATGGTGCTTTAATGAGATATATATGGAGCATTAAACGGGCTTCTTGACTTTTATACAACCCTGTAAAACATAAAACATAGTTGATCTGAGCTAGTAAACAAAACCAAAATCATCTTCTTTAGACCATCTTTGCAACGGGGAGGCACAAGGATCAAAGATTTATATCTTTATATTTATATCTTATGTATGTATATCTATTTAGGTAACTAAAAAATAAAGCATATCTATTTATTTAATTGCATGTTGTGAATCAACAGTTTAGCAAGTGGTCGGTTCCAGAGTTATTTCAGTAAGCATAACAACTACAAGAGTCAATTTAAGATGGTGATTAATGCATCAGGCAAAATCCAGGAGGCCTGATACCTTGAGCACAAAGCCAGTTTGATAACCTTGATCCATCACTTTCTCTAGGAAAGGAGGCACTGGCAAACCACTTCTGAAAAACATTGCTAAGAAAACAGCAGGGATTTGCCCAGGCAATCCCTGAGAATTGGACATGATTGAACAGAATTATATATCTATATGCCTGTGCGCACACACACACAAACACACACACACAAACACACACACACTGTCCACACACAAACTAAATTTGCTACAAATTCAGTGTCAAAAATCATTCTGATAATTTTTCTTCTAAGCAGTTATTACTAATTTGCCTGTAGCTTAGCTTATATTTGCTTTTATTCAAAAGAAGGAAGGCAGGGAGGAAGGGAGGAAAATAAAGGGTCTATGGAAATAAAAACAGAAACTTTTGTTTATGTACATTATAATAATAATGGTGGAAAAAGGCATTATGGTGCTGTGTTAAACCTGAATTAAACTAGAATCTGAAAATCTCAGGTACAGGTTCCCACTTATCAATGGAAGTTTACAACTCAAGTCCCCCACATAATATTCATTCATTCATTCATCCATTCATTTTCTTTTTTTTTTTTTTTTTTTTAATTAAACTTTATTGAGATTTTCTTTTAAAAAAAACAAACAAAAAACAAAGGACAAAAACAAAAGAGAAATAAGAGGAAAAAACAAACAAACATTCAAACAATAACATGAAACAACATATACATAATATAGCTTTTCAATTTGTATCGGATGTGCAGTGTTTTAACTATTTCCATAAATAATACTTGGTGACATTTTAACTCACTTTTAACCATTATTTAATACACCTTTAGATCTTTCTTTCATTCTATCATGCAACCACTTGTACCACCTTTCCCACACCATATAGTAAACTGACTTTTCATCATTTAATTCATAGGTTAATTTAGACATCTCTGCGCACTCAAGTATTTTCTTAATTGTAAGCTCTTCTGGTGGTTGAATTTTCTCTTTCCAATACTGTGCGTATGCCAATCTAGCGGCTGTAATTATATGGATCATTAAATGCATCATTTCCTTTCTATATGGCTTCTTTATTATTCCCAGGAGGAAAATCTCTGGTGTTAATGCAATATCTTCATCAGTTATTTCATATAACCATCTCCTAATTTTATTCCAGTATCCTTTTGCTTCCGGGCATGTCCACCACATGTGAAAGAAGGTGCCTTGACCGTGGCCACATTTCCAACAATTGGGATGTATATTGGGATATATCTTCGCTAGTCTGGCCGGGGCTAAGTACCATCTATGAAACATTTTGTAATGGTTTTCCTTATATGTCACCGCTCTAGTCAATTTAAGATTTCTGTTCCATGCCTCCTCCCATTCCCCAAAATTTATATTGCGCCCTATATTTTTCTCCCATGCAATTATTTGATTCTTCGTGACATCTTCGAACTTGTCACCGTTTAATATATAATTGTATAATTTTGCCAGAATCTTTTTGTTTGTTCCCATCAAGACTTTATCCAGTCCGTTTGATCCCAGTTCTAAACCATATTGTTCTTTGTCTTTCTGATATCTGGATTTTACTTGTGCATAAGTCCACCAATCTAAAGTTATTCCTTGCTCTCGTAGAATATCATTTGGTTTAAGCCACCCTCTTTCGTCTAGGATATCTTTATATCTGCCCATTTTCTCCCTCTCCCACCTATTTGGGTGGGTCAGGGCCTCCATCGTTGAGAGCCAATTTGGGATTTTTTTGTAATATTTTTGCCTAATCTGGGTCCATGTTTGTATCAGGGAATCTCTAATTTTGTGTCTATGAAAATGTGTCTTCCTTTTCTTCTCCGTTTCCCAGATGTGGGCGTGCCAGCCTTTTTGCAGGTCATGGCCTTCTAAGGTAAGAATTCTCTTATTTTCCAGGGTGATCCAATCTTTTATCCATACTAGCTTGGCTGACCTGTAGTATGTTTCCCAGTCCGGGAGTCCAAATCCACCTATGTCTCTTTTGCCCCTTAAAATTTTAATGGAAAATCTCGGTTTTTTCCCCTCCCATATGAATTCTCTAATAATTTTGTCTAGTTCTAAAAAGAATTTTTTATCTAAATTTATGGGTATATTTTGAAATAGAAATAATATTCTGGGGAGGATGTTCATCTTAATTGTGGCTATCTTGCCCAAAAGTGATAGTCTTATTTTTTTCCAGCAATCTAGGTCTTGTTTTATTTTCCTGATTAGGGGAATATAATTATCGTCTTTCAAGGTCGAACATCTTGATGTAATCCAAATTCCTAGGTATTTAATTTTTTTGGCAACCTGTAATCCTAGTACTTCTTCTATCTCGTTTTTCTGGCTCTCAGTTGTGTTCTTGATCAATACTTTGGTTTTGGTTTTGTTCAGTATGAAGCCTGCCACCTCTCCATATTTACTTAATTCCTCCAATACTTTAGGTCCCGGTTCTATAGGGTCTTCAAGGATTAGGGCTACATCATCCGCAAATGCTTGCGTCTTGTAAATCTCCTTTCTGATCTGCAATCCTTTTATTTCATCGTTAAATCTAATTTTCCTTAGAAGAACTTCTAGGGCCAGAATGAACAATAAAGGGGATAGGGGACAACCTTGCCTTACTCCCTTACTGATTTGGAATGTTTTAGTCCTATCCCCATTCACCAAGATACTCGCCTTTTGGTTATTATAAATGGATTTAATCATCATTTCAAAATTTGTTCCAAATTTCATCATCTCAATTTGTTTATTCATGAATTTCCAATTTAGATTGTCAAATGCCTTTTGAGCATCGACAAAAATCAGAGCCATCTGTTTTTCAGGGTGTTCCTCATAATACTCTAGCGTGTCTAGTACAATTCTCATATTATCCCTAATTTGTCTCCCCGGTAAAAATCCATTCTGGTCTTTATATATCCAATTATTTAAAATCTTTTTCATTCTTTCGGCCATTATGCCCATGAATAATTTGTAGTCCGTATTTAGGAGCGAGATTGGTCTGTAATTTTGAATTTGTTTTGGGTCGGCACCTTCTTTCGGCACAAGTGTGACATGCGCCTCTTTCCATGACTCTGGAATTTTGTGGTCTAACAGTGCATCATTAAAAATTTCTACTAATTTCGGTTGGAGTATTTCTTCTAATTTTTTATATATTTCCCCTGGAAATCCGTCAGGTCCTGGCGCTTTATTATTTTTCAATTTGGAAAGGGCTATTTTTAATTCTTCAATTGTGATCTTTCTGTTAAGCATTTCTTTCTCATCATCAGTTATTTGTGGGAGCTCTGCTTTTATCAAGTATTGTTCTATTTTGTCATCCGATATCTCCTCTTCTTTATATAGGGATTCGTAATATTCTCTCACCCTATCCCGTTTTTCTTCCTCGGTAATCAATAATTTGCCCTTAGAGTCTACTAAAGTATGAATTATTCCCCTTTCATTTTCCTTTTTTAATTTATAGGCCAACCACCTCCCCGATTTGTTGGTATTCTCAAAAAGATATTGTTTCGTTCTTTTCATTCTTTGTGCCAACTCTTCTTGCTCCATGATGTTTACTTTATGCTTCCACATCATCCAATTTTCTTTGGCTGCTTCATCTTCTGGATTATCTTGGAGTTTTCTTTCTGATTCTCCTATATGATTTAAGTACTCTTCCAGGATCTTCCTTTCTTCTTTATTTTTATGTGCAATATATGAAATCACGACTCCTCTCAGATAGGCCTTCATTGTATCCCAAACTATTGCGCGGGATGTGCCTTTGTTTTCATTTTCCTTGAAAAAGAAATTTATTTCTTCTTTAAATTTTTGTATACAGTCTTTGTCACCCAGTAATTTAGCATTAAACCTCCACCTCCGTTGGTATTTTCTCTGGAGAGACTTCCATCTGATTTCTAATGGATTATGATCAGCCCAATCGTTTGGGTTAATTACTGCAGTTTCAATTTCCAACCCCAAATTTCTACTGGCCCATGCCATGTCAATTCTGGACCACGACTTTTGTGCATTTGAAAAGAAGGTATATTGCCTGTCATTTGGGTGCAGGGTACGCCAAATATCAATTAGATCTAATTCATTGACTAACTCAAAAAATGCTCTCGGTAAGTTTGTCCTTTTATTTTTTTTAACTTTATTGCTCTTATGGTCCTTCTCCGGATCTACAATGCCGTTAAAATCCCCTATCATACAGATTTCAGTATATGCCATTTTCACTAATTGTTCATGCAGTTTCTTAAAGAATTCTCCCTGTTTTTTATTCGGGGCATAAATGCCCACTAATAATACCTTGGAATTCCCTCTCTTAACTTCAATCATAAGGATCCTACCCTTTGTATCTTTAAATTTCAATTCTGCTTCAATTCCTTTTTTTACGTAGATAGCCACCCCCCTCTTCTTTTTCTCTGCCAGCGAATCAAATGTTTGACCAAATTTTTTATATTCTAAACATTTACTTTCTTCTTTTTTTATGTGCACCTCTTGTAAACACATTATATCAACATTTTGTTTACCTAGTTTTGTTAATATTCTTTTCCTCTTTTTATAATCATTTAGTCCATTGACATTTACGGATATTAACTTCAAGCCATTCATCTCTAAACCCCTATCTGATTACTGGTTCTTGTTTATTTCTTACGGCCCTTACTGGTCTCGCTTTCTTCTCTTTGGCTTCTCCTTCTTCTTCTGTCTTCTCCTCTACAGTTGCCTCGTTCGTGTTCTGTTGATGTAGGGCTTCC